GCATTTGGCACCGGTGCTGTGGGTGGTATCGTTATGGCTGTTACCTCCAAAGACGATCATCAAAGTGGGAGAGATGAACGTAGCGGTGTGCAGGAATCGGGCACTCGGTGCATCCGTCAGAAATGTCCACGAGCGATTGTACGGGTCGTAGGCGTATATATGTTTGCTGAGCACCTGAGCGAATTGGTTAATTGAAACCACGCCTCCGTACACGTATATCCTTTCCGTATAGTAATCCCAGGCGGCGGTGTGACCGTAGCCGCCCTTCACCGGATATCCGCGAGTCTTCACGATGTGCCATTCCCTCGTCTCGAAGTAATACTCTTGTACTGTATTCAGGTATCCCAATTCCGGTGAATGTCCGAAGATCACCACCATACGATCATCCTTCTTATTACCGATGTTTGCGACGACGGTCGCCGTGTGTCCTGCGGATTTCAGAGGTCCGCACAGAAGGATGCTTCCGTTACAAGACTCCGCCTTTACTGTGATGTTTTCCCACGATTGGGCGTTGATGTCGAGCGCCCACAGCTCAGAGGTGGGACCTCGATTTCCGCAGATACCTCCGTACAGGAACAACTTGTCGCCGTAAAGAACAGTCGAGTGGGCGTACCGTATGTGTGGACCGTCGTTCAAGTGCGGAGTCTCCCACACGTTACCTTTGACAAGAAAACATCGATAAATATAAATTGCCCAAGCGTAGAAATTGATTTAAATTACCATTAAAATCGTAGGTGTAAAGCATTTTTCCTTTATTGTAACTCTCGCCGGAGATGATGTAGAGGGAATCCTTCCACACGGCCGCCCCATGCGACGCCGATCCTAATCCGACGACGTAATTATCGGGGAGTATACTCTCCCAGTATCCTTTGGATGCAGGTTGGGAGCAGTCGGAACCCCTGAAGCTTGGATTGCATTTACAGCCGTTCTCAAGTTCACAATTTCCCCGCTGATCGTGGGCGCCGCAATTGTTCGGACATTTCTCCAGGTGGCAAGCCTCGCCGGTCCAGTGATCTTAAGAGCAAATCAAAAGAACGTCAGAAACGAAGATTAAAAGAGGTGTATTGTCTGTTTACCATTGCAAGTGCATTGACCATCGATGCAGAGGCCGTTGCCGGAACAGTCGACGCCGGAAACGTTGGACGGACACGCGTTGAGACGATATGTGATGTTGAAACCGGACATGTTGTAAGCGTCATCGGAGAAGAAATGGACGAGGGCGTTACCAGATTGGGCCACAACCTCCGGTATTTTTCTGATGCGATAGGCGTTGTTGTACATGAGGCCGCTGAAGACTGCTAGAAGAGGGGAATTGACGCTGTCACCGTCGTAGATGTACAGGTGATCCCAGCCGCACTCTGTTGCAAATTCCTCCAGGTGAATGGTGATGGAAGCGTTCGGAGCGTCGATCAACCAGCTGCATTTGGTACTGATCGAATAGTTTCCGAAACCATCGTGGATTGTCCCATTCGATGTTCCCAATCTGCAAAATTCGATTACAAACTTTAATTCTGAAGGTGAACAACCTTTGCATAAAAGGAAATAATAAACTAAATTACAATAGATGTGGAAATTTTTTAAAAACAAATAGTGTAAAACTTAAATATATAAATTTGGAAAATCTAATTTAATTCAAGTGCGCATGAAGAAAATAAAAGAAAAAAAAAACAAAACAAAAACTAAAACTTTTTACAAAACAAATATGAACTTTGAGATTCGAGCAGGCTATAAATAAAACACTGCTTGCTTATCCATAGGAATGAGATCAAAACAAATTACAAGATGATGCTCTTACCTGACTTTCCCACCACAGAACTGGCACTGGGAACCCTGCCATCCATCGTAGCAAGCACAAGTCTCGTTCATGCAGATCCCGTGGCCCCCACAATCCTCAGGATCCACGCATTTGGTCTGCACCTGTTGCAGACTTCCGACCACAAACAGTAGCACACCCAGATATATGAACAGATCCATCGATTTTTGCCTGTACTTGGACTTGAAGAAGAACAGGAACATCTGCAGCATCTCCAGCATGGCTCTCTCACTGTGCTCTGCCTCTTTCACGTCCTCCTGCACTCTATTCTATTTCGCACTTCTTTTCGCTCCTTTGATTTGTTTACTTTCGGGAACGGCAATATCTATTTTTAGGAAGCGAGTCAAAACCCCAACTCTGGAATTGGAATTGATGAGAATGCGCAAGCGCGTATAGTTTTGTTTACTTTAGAGAACGCAGATTTGTTTACAAGCTATTCAAACACTAGTGCGCATGCTCATAAGCGATGTAGACAAATATTTCAGGTTTTAAGTGCTTGAAGTGCCCATGCGCAGAAGTGAATCCATGAATATTTTAAGATTTCTCCGACAGATGGCACTGGAGTGCCCAGGGGACCAAAGACCTTGTGTGGTGGCGTCCCCTCGCAGGGAGACCAAGTCATATGAGAAATCTGTTGTATAGCCACTTTCCAGTCTGATCGAAAAAACATTTGTGAGGACTATAAGGTAGGATAATTTTAACTAATTTGTTTTAAGCTATTTAGAATTTGTATATCCAAAAATACAGATATTGTACTGAAAATACTGCAC